GTCCTCATCTGAAGGTATTTATTCTTTCAATATTTTTTGAGCCAGGCACTGTTCTGGCCAGTTTGGATAAATCAATAAACAAAATAAAGTTTCTGCCTCTGTGAATCTTATAATCTAGTGGAAGAAGATAAGACAATGAACATCATAAGAACATTACATTAGAAGGTGATCAGTGCTAAGCCAAAAAAGACAAAGTAGAACAAGGTAAGAATGCCTGGAGGGCTGGGAATGGGTGGCGGCTGTTGAAATATTATAGCAGGTGCTAAGAGTAGAACTCACAAAGATGACAACTGAGCAAAGACCTGAAGGAGACGGGGAGGCAGCCGCTACTGTTAGCACACAAAAGATGGCTTGTTGTTCCTTTTAGTTTTTGGGTACCATGTGCATCTTAACCATGCCTTTATTTAATCATGTGAGGCACCTTTAAACTGACAAGAAGTCTAAAATAGAAAATGTGTTTCAACCCCCATCCCAGAGCTCAGGTCCACTTAAGTTTCATGTGCTAAGCACAGCTACACGGAAGTCATTAGCGTCTTATATAAATGCACTGCCATGCTGAAAACAGAACTGTCGAAATAGTTGGTCCACAATCTAAATACAGGCCAGGAGAATGGCTTAAGCCTTTCATTAGTCACTATCAAAATACATGCACACCTGGACAAAGGCATGTTGAAATGTGTCATTTGACTACTTCTAAAAGTGATCGATTCCTATCACTTCAAAGCTTGGAAATAATCTGGTTGTATGTCTTTACACCCAGCTGCACTGAAAGCATCAGCAAAAAATAGGGCTCCAGGAATTGACAGAATACCAGTTTAGATGTTTCAACAAACAGATGAAGCGCTAGAGCTGCTCGCTTGTCTATGCCAAGAAATTTGGAAGAAAGCTACCTGCCCAATCGGCCAGAAGAGATCCCTATTTGTGCCCATTCGAAAGAAAGGTGATCAAACTGAATGTGGAAATTATTGAACAATATTATTAACATCACATGTAAGTAAAATTTTGCTGAACATAAAAAAACTGTTGCAGCAGTACATAGACAGGTAACTGCCAGAAATTCAAGACAGATTCAGAAGAGGACGTGGAACAAGGGATATCCTCGCTAAGGTCAGATAGATCTTTCCTGAAAGCAGAGAATACCAGAAAGATGTTTACCTGTGTTTTATCAACTATTCAAAGGCATTTGACTGTGTGGATCATAACAAATTATGGATAGCCCTGCAAAGAATGGGAATTCCAGAACACTTAATTGTGCTCATGAGGAACCCATACGTAGACTAAGAGGCAGTCTTTCGAACAGAAAAAAGGAATACTGTGTGCGTTAAAATCAGGAAAGTTGTGCATCAGGGTTATACCCTTTCACCATACTTATTCAATCTGTATGCTGAGCAAATAATCTGAGAAGCTGGACTATATGAAGAGGAACATGGCATCAGGATTGGAGGAAGACCCATTAACAACCTGTGATATGCAGATGACACAACCTTGCTGGCTGAAAGTGAAGAGGACTTGAAGCAGTTACTGATGAAGATCAAAGACTACAGCCTTCAGTATGGATTGTGCCTCAACATAAAGAAAACAAAAATCCTCACAACTGGACCAAT